TCAGTTTTTTTTTTAAATGACAATTTAAAAAATCCTAATCAGTTTGGATAGAATTTGAAGTGCTTATCTGATAAGCACTATGATAATTTCGAAGTTAGTGTTATCTTTTTCTAATTAATAATGATATAAACTGTAAAGATAATTTCGAAATTAATATGTTGACTAACATTGATCCTTAAAATTTGGGATATGAATGGTTTTGAGCGGGAAAATATTGACACCTGGGTAACCCTCTACAATAAATACCTATGTTTGCTTCTCTGAAATTCGATAATGACTTGATTCTTCCACCTGGGAAGAAGGTATGTTCACATATTTTTTGTTTTCTCTTTTGATTTAATTGTTACGTTGTAACTAATACTACTTTTGACATAGAAAAACGGCCATAATGTCGAACTCAAGTAGCATTGTAAATAAGCAGGAATGTGATCAAATCATCCTTCAACTTTGTATGCATGAGAAACATGAGAAAGAAAAGAAAAGGGAATGGGCATTGCTAAATTGGAATTGGGATGAGGTTATTGATATTCTAAGTTCTGAAGATGAAAAGCTGGATGATGAAGCTGTGGAAAAGTCTGACACATTAGATTCAACAAAACCAAAAACTTTGTCACCACCACTGAAGAGACCCCGTGTCAAAGTTCAAAGCCGAAACAGATGTTATAGGCTTCGTGATGAAGAAGATGGTGAATTTCCTGTTGATGTCGGGTAAGATCATTTGTACTTTGTTTTACAAACGATCATGAAAAACTGTTTTTTTTTATATATTTCAAGGATCAAGAAACTTATGAATGCCTTAAATTTTATTTTTTTGTCAGGAGTGGTTTGATTACTGTTGCAGCTGAAAACCAGCCATCTCAGGATGATGAAGATGCAGTTGTTAACACCTAAGTTTTTTTAGTAGATTTATTTGATGTTGGAATTTTTATGGTTGTCTTTTTTTTGGATTGTTTCAAATAAGTAACATGTTTTTATGGTGTTGTTTTTCCTTTGCTATTACATTATTATTTTCTGGGGTATAAATGCATGCCTTGTTTTTATGTCTTTTAAAAGGCAACCAATGTCACACAATCCATAGGTATTTATTGTAGAGGGTTACCCAGGTGTCAATATTTTCCCGCTCAAAACCATTCATATCCCAAATTTTAAGGATCAATGTTAGTCAACATATTAATTTCGAAATTATCTTTACAGTTTATATCATTATTAATTAGAAAAAGATAACACTAACTTCGAAATTATCATAGTGCTTATCAGATAAGCACTTCAAATTCTATCCAAACTGATTAGGATTTTTTAAATTGTCATTTAAAAAAAAAACTGATGATATACATTAAATCTATCTCATCCATTAATAACAAACATGTTTTGTAATCTGATTAAATGTCACACATATGACATTTAATCAGAAAATCGATCATTCTTCAAATATGACATTTAATCAGAAAATCGATCTAAAAATGAGACATTTGGTGTTTATCGATTTTTCAGGGTCGACGGGTTGTATGAAAAGCGAAGGCTGAGTAATTGAAAATTAGAGGATCGATGGTTGCTACTAATTGCTTGTAACTGGTATTGGTTTCATATCGATGGATGTGGATTCGCATATGAAATCAATTGTGTTCGCATATATGAAATCAGTTCACATATGACATCAATTGAGTTCGCATTTGGTTTTGTGGGTCAAAACAGTTCGCATAAGAAGTTCACGATTTGTTTGAGGTTAATTGATTTTGATTTCGCAAGCTTGGAGTCGGAGATCTGGATTGTGTTCGCATCTATAGAATGCGAGGAGAATTTAATGGTGATATTCAGTTCGCATTTGGTGACACAAGTACGTGGTTGATGATTTTTGGTTGGTTCGCATTTGAAATCAGTGGGTTTCGCATTTGGGTTCGTATCTGGGTTTCTCAAACAACTGAAATGCGAATATGAGACAACTGATTAATTTCTCAGTTAATGCGATGAAATGCGAATGAACTCAAAGACGGATGGATGCAAGATGCGAAGAATTTGAATGAAAATGCGAAGTTTTTAATGTATAAATGCGAATGAACTCAAAGACGGAAGAAAGTTTTTAATCTTAAATGAAATCATAGTTTCCTAATAAATTAATTAACAAAATACTTAACCCGAAAACAAAATCGAAAACCAAAATATAACCACATAACGTGAACCCACCAAACCAATTACGAATGTCAAAGAAAGACACATGAGAATTAACAAAAAAAAAAAAAAACTTTCATTCACAAATGGTATAATGCATAAATAAAGCTTATTTTTTTCATTTACATAGAAAATATTAAGAACAAAACACTCCCATGTTCTTGTACATGATACATACAAAACAAAGAAGAAACTATTATTCATATGGTACCTTCAAATATAAGAATGATACAATAGTCAAATATGTATATGATAAAATTTGAAACAAATCAATCCAAATTCACAAAATTTTGTCAGTTAAATTTTTTTTGTTGTCTGACAATAAATGAAACCAAAAACTTATGCATTGCAATTTTCAAAAACAAAACTTACAAATGGGTTTACCCCAAACAATAACAAAAACTTACATATTGCAACTTTAAAGAAAAAACTAAACATTCAACTACAAGAGCTCTAAAAACCCAACAAGAAGATCATATTCAGATCTTAAGAAGCTTACCCACGATTTCTTTGAGATGTTGGTTTATATCAATCCATTTCAAGTCCTGTAAACACACATAAACACAAAGTTAGACATACGCATAGATACAGGACGATGGTCAGCAGCACCGGAATTTTAGAAGGATGCATAGAGGAAACTAATATGTGGAAGCTATGAGGTAGCTTTTTGATAGAGAGACAGAAAGGGGAAGTGCAAAGAACGATAACAAAGGTGGTGGGTTTAGCAAGCAAAGATAGCCATGGAAGGAGAAAAAAGGTAGTGTCTCGCAACAACAATGATCTAGGAATTTTTATAAACAACTAATTGACTCTTGGTGATTTGCAAGATAAACATAGACTCATACAAACACACACAACCAAATTGAGAAACGATAAGGAAAGAAAGTAATACCTTGAACTAAACAAATTAACAAGCTCTCTAGTTGCTTATTTCTTTAAGAACATCAAACTAACTATGAAATTTTCAAATATAATAAGAACCTCTATTATCAATTGCAAAGAATACAATATAAAAAAACGATGATATAGTCATAAAGAGAGTAACAACTATCTGACATTTGTGTTAATTTTCTAGTTCTAATGCAATTTCATCTACCGGAAGGACTTAAATGAGAGAACTTGAAACCAACATTTCATGATCAGCTACAATGAGATCAAAATCTACAAAACTAACATCTGACCTGCAAATCCCACACCAATATCCGATATTCAAATGATGGAGTAAAAACTCCAAACCCAATCCCCAAGAAAAAACAAACAATATCTTACCTTCAAACACAGATTCAGATTAACCCATCTGCAATTTTTTGGGTTTAATTAAGAATCAGTTCTAAATGAAAACTAAAATCGGAAACTATTAAAGAAAACCTACATGGCTTCGAATGATCTGCCGAATCTTTGAGTAGTCCACATCGGTTTCAAGGTTGAAGCGGCGATGCATATATCCTTAGGTTTCCAATGAGTGATGGAGATATGAATGAGGTGATGGTAGTAATGAAGTAGTGAAGACGAATGTGTTGATATGTGTAGGGTTTTAGAGATAGGTCTTAATAAGGTGTAGAAGTGGTAGAGGTGCGTTGGGGATGGGTAACAGTAGATATTGGTGAACAGAGAAACGTAGGCGAAGGAGGGTAGAGGCGAAAAATTATTGGGTGGCGGTGATAGACGGAAAGAGGCAGAGTGCCTACATTGGTGGTCAGACTGTGCGTGGTTAACGTTAATTTTAGAGAAGTAGGTAGGTGGCAGAGAAGGTGAAGCATGCGTGACTGTGGGTGGAGATTATAGAGGTGACAGAGTTGTGCGGTTGTGTGGCTGGTGAATTCCAACAGCTAGGGTTTTTCCATTGAATGAAGGAGATAATGTATAAAGAGATTGAAAAGCCGGTTATGGTTGTTGACCGATTAAACTGGCTGAAAGAAGGCCAGATCGGCTTCCTTGAGATAAATAAGGATTTTAACTTGGGGATTAAATAGCTTAGTCAAAATTCATGCATAGGTGATTGTACACTAAGTTTAAAAATTTAGACGATTTCAAATTTAATATTATTTTATTAATGGTTGTTTGTAATATTAGCTTAATCGTTTGTACGTCTTAAAAAAATAATATTATTATATTCAATCTATTTATAGAAATAGTTAGATTTCTTTTATAAGTAGTAAAGATAGATATATATATATATATATATATATATATATATATATATATATATATATATATATATATATATATATATAACCTTTTAACTTACTTTACTTAAAAATCACTTGGGTTATATACTTGGTAACACATCTAAAAGATATGATGGATAACCTATTGAACTATATTTAAATCCTGACACCATTCATCATTTGTGGTAATAGAGGTTTGCCTACAGTGACTCTAGGGTATAAGACAAAACCTTATATTTGCAGTGAGGATTAGTCGGTGTACGAATGCCGGCTTGAAAACCCTCGTTAAAAAAGTTCCCCCTCATAAAAAAAAACAACTTTACTTAAAAATATTTCTAAATAATATAATGTGTATGATTATCAATTAATTAAAAAAACAACCAAAACACCACAAAAACGAGAAAATAATGCGCGACAAGTGACCTAAATTAGGAGAAGATAATTACATGACGGTTAAAAATAAAGTAGAAAAAGTTGATACGATGGGAAGACTATCGCCCCCTTCGCGACCTTTCTTCTCCTCTCATGTCCGACATCACCCTCCCTCTTTCTCTTTCTCTTTCTCTTTCTTCTTATCTATAGAGCTCTCTCACTCTCTTTTTCAAGTATACAAAAGCTACGTTATCTTTGATAATCCTTTTGTTATTTAAACTCAAACCCCTTTAAATGGACGCTGCCATCGGAGCTGCTGAAGGAGAGATTAGGGTTTATTATTTCATTCCCAGATTGATCTCCGGCGCTATCTCCGGCGCCCTTACTGGTCTCTTCGCATTCGGTAATTTACTACTTCGTTTTCCCAATTCAGATTTTTGCCATATACTTTGATTCCTTTGATTAATTGTTATAAACTTAGTGAAGTGTTGAGTCACTACTCTGTGTATAGCGACGTTTCCTTCTGACCCTTCTGTAACAAATTCCAAAATCTTTTCAACCTTATAATCCACCGAAAACTCACAAACCCTAATAATCTAAATCCTACCAATCATATCCAAACTCCAAAGTTATCAAAACTTTTTGAAACGTATACACAATAAATTCCACAAAAAGTTAATTCGTCTAAATCCCTAAAAATTAGAAGAACCCTACGCTCCTGCTCCCTTTATATGTTGCACTTCAAATCAAACCTTGATTTATATTCATTTACTTAGCTTGACTTACTCTTTTAATGTTATTTCATTTTATCATTCTGTTAATTATTACATAATTATTTGTACTATGTGTGAAATTTATTTTCGAATGTTTTGTTAATCTTATAAAATTTTAGGATTATAAATTTAATTATTTTTTTTGGGTTGTTAATCATAAGTGTTTATTACATGTTTTTTGTGCAACATTGTGAAAACGCGACAATGAACATATAATATATGTAGCAATAGCATTGACTTTGTGTTGACTTGTGTTGCAGGTGGGGCCTTCACGGGTGCCATCACGGGTGCTGTGGCGGGTAGAGCTTCTGATTGTGGGGCCCTCCGTGGAGCTGGACTCGGTGCTCTTGCTGGAGCTGTTCTTTCTGTTGAGGTTCTAGAAGCTTCACGTGCTTATTGGTCTCAAGAACTCTCCTCCAATAGAAACTCATCAATGGTAATTAATAATCACTAATCATTTAAATAATATTTTCCCAAAACATATATAAATAAAACATACTCTTGGTTATTATAGGCAGATTTTATGGAGGAGCTTCTTCGTGGAAGGTTTTCAGAGGAACGTTTTCCACCTGAACTTTTAACAGCGTATCATTTTCAGGTCAAAATTTACAACAAACAAAAATCCAATTACAAAACATTAAAACAAAAAAAAAAATAATCCTATATTTTCTACATTATCAAACGTTTGTAGCAGGTGAGCATGAGTCCTGTTGATGTACTTGATTTTAATGATGACGTGGCACACAAAGGGTTGTCAGATGATTCATTGAGACGCTTACCATGGCACAAGATTTCAGATGAAAGTAAACTGAATCAAACCATTTGTTGCACAATATGTTTACAGGTTTATCATGTTCTCAACTAAAACTATATATTTTTTTTAATGATGTATGTTTGAGTTGACCGATATCAAGTATTTGGTTGACCATGGCAGGATGTTAAGGTAGGTGAAATTGCTCGAAGTTTGCCTCATTGTCAACACATGTTTCACCAGATTTGTGTGGATAAGTGGTTATCTAGACATGGATCATGCCCTATATGTCGACAACATGTGTAAGTTTTTGTTATATGATTATGTATAAAATTATTGGTGTATATATGTATGTATGTATGTATGTATGTATGTATACATGTGTGTGTGTGTGTGTTGATTGTTGTAAGATGATGATGTCATTGGGATGTGTATAGCTTCTTTGTAAGATGGGTTGTTGTGTTTTGTTACAAATTTAATTTTTTTTAGGATATGTATATGGAGACTGTTTTGAAATAAATGTGTTATTGTATGACTTGATTGAGTTAATAATAAATAAAAGGTTGATGTTGCATGTATTTATTTGTGGTTATGATGAAGCTGCAAAGGGAAATGGACAACAGGAATATGAATAGGGTTGGGGATGATTATAAGTTATATTATTACGGTTTTTATTGACAAAAACCACTAATCGCAAATGTGGTTGTTTCATTTTTAAAACCGATTGATGTGGTTATTTATGTGGTGTGATTTTATTTATTTATTTGTGGTTAGGTTATTAACTGTATGAATTTGGTGTGGTTATTTTGTGGGTTTTAACAATAGTTAAACATTTTAGATTTTTTATGACTCGTTTGGATGATTTGGACAAATGAGGTTTTTTTATAACGGTTTTAAGAGTTTAAATATATTGTAAATGCGACGGAGGATTGGGGATATCCTGCTCAAATTTTCACAGCTATTCCAATATGTTTAATAAATAAGATATTAATAATTAACTAAATAAATTTGAAATATTGTATATAATAGGTGCACTTTGGTTTTAGTTTTGGTTTGAGTAAAGTTATTATATTGGGTGTGCTTAGGTTATTTTTTGTTTTCAAAAAACAGAAAGTACACTGCAGCTAAAAGTTCTGTTTTTGAATAACTTTAAAGCACATTTTTTGTTTTTGTTTGGCTTTTGGTTTATTGGTTTAGGTTAATGTGGTTTTTTTGATTTTTTTAATTACGGTTTGGTTTTTGCTTGTCTTGATGCAATGGAGTGAATGCTGCTCGTGTGTGGACATCTACCGGATGACTTACCCCAATAGTAATGATGCCATTTTTGTAATCTATGTTAATGTTGAGATGACAACATTTGTTGATGCAAACATTGCAAAACATAAAAACTTTATTTTATTAGCAATGACGATGAACTATGTTATGTATAAGCCTATCATCATAAAAACTCAATGATGAGAAAATTTTAAAATGTAAAAGAAATTGCCATATGTCATTCATTTGATTGATTGCCAAATCATATTCTTGACCCTTGATATCCAAAGATTACATTGTCCTACTCTTTATATGATGCATTCAATTACTTTCAGTTATCGATGATTGTTGGTGTGGTTTCAAGTGAAAATTCCATATCAAATCGTATATGAGGTTTGAGATTTTTGGAAACTGAAAAACACAGTAAATGTCATAAGGTAGCTTTTCCGAGTGATATGCATAAGTACTTATTGTTAGCCTAATGTTTAAAGTGATCAAGTATTTATGCTTATATATGCCGACGAGTGGAGGGCTGATGGGGGACTCTTTATTTAATAATGATAACTAATAGGGTATATGTGTTATCCATTGAACTTTTTGAAATTGGTTTAAATAGTCACAAAAGTTATTTTCTAGCTTTACTTTTTCTAACTTTATGAGTATATAGTAGGTGTAAACATGTCTTTTTAGTCATATTCACCTAAAACATGTTAACTGTTCCACCTCTACACTTGAACCACAACCGGCTCCATAGTCAGCAATGATGTGGCGATTATTTAATAAGTGACTGCCTAAGCAGAGATCATTTTCTTGACATCTTTTTCAACTGCAACAATCAATACTTGTCACCATTGGTAACCACCTGTCACTGCGGTGACACCTTCTTTCGCATCCAACTAAGACATGAAACCTGTTAAATCTGTAAATGAGCTCAAACCCATCAAACCTGTTAAAATCAAACTCACAAACAAAAAAAGGAGATCAAACCCCTATATACTGGATATGTGTTTTCCCTTTATTTCGCTATCTCCACCCTCATTATCGACCTAATATTGAAATGGAATGAGATGGATATCATAGGAAAGAATATTGAAGACTCTAACAGTACCGCTTTGTGAGTCTTATAAGAGATCAGAAAATTTGTCGTTTGGATATGAAATTCATCTTGAATTCTACACCAAAACCCCTCTCCAAAGCATAGTTATCCTAAATCGTTAATAGACAAAATCAAAGTCAATATTGGTACAAATAAAAAATTGTCTATTTATTAAAGGAAGAAACCCTCCATTTTTCTTCTAGATCCAAACTTATCATTAAAATGATATTTTACCCCTTCAAAATCGCAAAAATGATCTTTTAAACCCGACTAAAGCCACTTTATTCCTCTAGAAAACAAGAAAAATACTTCGAAGACCAATTAAACTAACTCGTGAAACTTCGATGGGTAATAATGACATTAACTACCTACTAATAATACTTGTAACAAAAATACAAAATATGAAAAAAAAACCATAAAAATAAGGTTAAAATAGGCAATTTATATATGTAAACCTCCTACCCCATCCTCCAATGTTGTGTACCTCTGTGAGTGTAATAGTTCTTGTGCACCCCTTGATGATGTGACAGTACATGTAAATAAAATGGGATACTTATAGCACAACTCTTAAAGTATTCAATTTATAAAAACTCAACACTTTATTTCCAAGCATCCAAAATTATTGATCTTATCTACAATTTTTTTTGCTTTATAATAATTTTATTAAACAAAAATCGATGAATTTAAATATTTTCAATATTAAAATACTTTCTTAAATTTTACTTACTTAACACTATATTTTGAAATGTTTTATAAAGCCTTATAGTGTGATTTGTTGTTTTTAAAGGGATGTAATATTTCTAAACATAAAATATTTAAAATACAAATACTTAATGATAACATTAAATAAAATCTATATATTACAATACATAAAATTAAAATAAGTAGTATCAAATGTAAAGTTTATAAATTTTCGCTCATATATCCTCGCACAACAATTGATGAAACATTTTGACGATTAAAATAACGACTATTACTAATCTAATATGTATTATCAGAGATAAAAATAAGACAAATAATTAATCGTAAAATGTAACGTTATTATTTCAGGGCTAGACTTTTTGGACCTTTTACTAAATTAAGTTTTGAAAAATGATAAAATAAAAATAATTCAACTAAATATGAATAATAAAATATATATGTAGAAAATAATTAAATAAAATTTTGTTGGTGAAATTTGAAGCTTCAGAGTTATTACAAAGATTAACGACGGATAAATCAATATTTTAGTGTATAGTAACTATTTTTGTCAGGTTTAGGAATTTTGTGTTGATTTGGATTAAATTAGATAAACTACGTACTAAGAGTTAATTGTAATAAATCAATCTTAGAAACTTAATTTATAGTTTTCTAATTTGGAAAAATGTTAGTAAATGGTTAATGGGAAAATCTACAATGAAGGGACTAGAATCGATGATTTGGGGAAATTTGCTTTGAGTTGACATTGGAAAAAATGTTTAGGAAATCGATCGGGAAGAACTATGCGTGCAAATGTATATGTGGTTGCTAATTATATAGATTCAAAAAGAGAAAATTATCTCTAAAGGAACCATTTGTTCTATTCACATAAATGGAGCATTTAATCATGGATCTTCATTCCCTTTCTCATTTGAATCTCTCTAACCGTAGAGTGCTTTTAAAGTGGCAATTCAATTAAATTTTTTGTTGAGTTTCTAGCTGTTAGTTCCTTTCTAGTTTATGATTCAATCCATTACTTCCATTGGTGAGATTTGGAGTTTGAAGGAGTTTTGTGGGATTTCTAACCCTAGTTCCTTTAAAATTCGAATTTCATGGATAAAACTAAGTAGCTAGATGCTTTCTAATTTCATTTCAAGTTACCATATCATTAGTTTCAGTAAGTTTGCAAATCAATCTTCTATCGGTGATTATTAAGAATAGTTGATGTTTTGGATCTTCTTGCTCTCATACATGGAATTTGAAAGTAATGTAAGTCGTCGATTTCGCTCAAATACCTAAATACTACTTGATGATTGTATTCTATATGTTATTTTTCAATTGAAACCTATTATTAATTGATCTACTGATTATTGAAATGCATGTTGTTAATACTATGTTTTTTGAGGTTTTAAGCTTCTATAGTGTTTTAAGCACAAGTTGACAAAAACACTCATAGATTCATTGATGTTATTAATTAATTATGTTATTAAGTTGTTAATATATTTAGGAATCAATTCATTTCACCATCAATGCAAATCATGGATGAAAACTCAAACTAACATCCATTTTTCATGTTTTAAAGTCTAAAAATGAAGTTTTTGGAATGATCATTTGATCCAAAATCTAATGGTAGTAGTGATGATACGAATGCATTAAAACATGTGCAATTAAGATTAGAAATTAGTCTAATGATTGAAAACCATAAAAAATGGTGTGTGAAGTGTTAAAATCAAATTTAGCAAAATAGGTTTTGGGTGTGTGAAACTCTTTGATATTTCGCATGGGCCGTGTAACACCCTATATTTTAATACCAGGAGTATCACACAATAGTAGATATTAGTTGCACTAATGTACTATATTTTAATACCAGGAGTATCACACAATAGTAGATATTAGTTGCACTAATGTATTGTCTAATGGAAGCAAGTCCAATATATTCAACATATAAATACATGTCATTGCATAATTTGGGGTTTCCAAAATTCCAAATCCATAGCAACACTATTTACCAAACTACCATTGATTGAAACCGTAAATCCTAGTGTTTGCTTGATTCTAATACCAACGTATAAGTTTCTTAAAATTCACACTCCATTTTCTAAGGATCTTAGTCCAAACACTTCAATCTTTAACATGGAGCACATGCTAATAAAATTATACGTGAGACAACATAAATTTAGTAATATTTTTAAATAAAAGTCAGGGATTAATTGTAAATAAGGTCAAAATGCAAGGACTTTTTGAAAATATTCAATATCACATTAGATGGTTACCGAGTGTTTATAATGAAACCAAGTATTTACCCAAAATTGAATACAATTAAAATTATTTTGGGCTTGATTGTAAGCATACACTAATAAACGACTTAATTGGATTTACAGTCAAAATATAGGGACTTTAATGAATATTTCCCTAAAATGATATGAATTTCAATTTAGCACTTTTGTAAATTTGTGGTAAGTTACCACTTTACCCTTTGTTGCTTTTTAGAACATGGATTAACTTTGACCTTATGTAATATGGTTGAAATAATGTCCACAGTTACAACAGATGGTAATATTACTATTAATAATAGGACCCTTTTCGGTTACATCAAGGATAAC